GTCATTAGTTACCAGTCCACCCGTCTCCCCCCAACACTTTCTTGGAGACGTACTGCCATGCAAACTCGCCTGGTCCAGATAGATCCATCTTGAGAGCAAGAGATAGAAACACCCACACCCCGGTTGCCTCTCGTATATTATAGCTGAAACCCCCTGGGCCATCAGAGGCCCCTTGCTATTTCCTTCGGCTCCAACCTGGACGCACGGGTCACTGTCGGAAGCGGTGGTGAAAATTTGAGGTAGATGCGAGAACTTCTTTTGTCGGAATTCTCTCGCTTTTCCAACACCGGGACCACCATCTTAGACCGACTATTCAGACGACTGATTTGAGACAGATGACTGCCCACGTAGGGCATCTGACCCCCTCGATGGTATGCTCCTGCCAAGGTGGCTACCATGACCGGGCGAAGCTTGTTCGGACATCATCTCGACCAGCTGTGCGTGAGATGCCTTGAGACGCCCCTCCGCGCCCGGGTTTCCTTGGTGCAGTTCTGCGACGACGGGGAGGCCCAGCTTTTGGACCCGTTCAAGTAAAGCTTCATTTTCTCGTCACCCACGAAGGATGCGCTTGTACCAACCACTCTAGGGTGCTTGTATCCTCAGGCAGTTTAGCCTAGACTGCTGGACAGTCAATGAGTAGCGATCGTAGTTTCAGTCGTCCCACCAGGCATGGAGAGCAGCCCCTCGGCTACGCTCTCTCCAGTCGTGCTGAAACACTTTCTGGTCTCGTGTCTTCGCATCTACTTTTGTCCCCCTTTTTCCCCGAAAACTTCATGAACGCCTTCAAACGGCACGGATTCGAAACTCCCATCGCTTGTTCACCGGCCGGACCGTGCGTGCATATACCATCCCAATTCCTGTCAGCTGGTTGTCTCAAAACAGCGGCGACGTTTTTTTTACACCCAGCCAAGACCGCGTCTGACCCTAACGCCGAGTATCGTCGCCAGGCGGTGAGGTGCCTCTGGGTGTGCCGTACGTCAGGAGCCTCGATTGCGGTGCTATTTCGGGCAATACGTGAAAGGCTACTGACAAGAGTTTTATGACCGTGTTGCGGGAAAGTCTGCGGGCTCCGTAAAAGCCTGGGGCGAAACCGGGCTAAGATGTTCTCGTGAAACCGAGTGCAAGTGATGTGTGTACGGCGTGCACGTTTAACTCGAACCCCGCTTTCGTCGTCTTCGCGCTCGGCTCACCCTCTACTGCCAGAGCCAAATGGAGCACCAGGATGCACACTTGAGCGAGATTGGTCAGACGGCATCGCGTTTAGGGAACATCAGGTGCGGACTGCTGCAAGCTTAGGGATCGGCGGGAGGGGAGGGGGGGGGGGGGCATGGAGGGCTAGGTTGCACCTAAACGTTACGTCCATGAATGAACCAATTGTCAAGGTTTGACCGCCGTCATTGAGATAAACTTCGACAACGCCCAGGCGTGCAGCAGGTCTGTCCTCCACACGAGCTACGTCTACGCCCTGCCTCGCCTTCGTTAACGTATGTGGCACCCTCGATTACTGTAGCGGGCATCAAAACGACAGTTTAAATCTACAGTCTTTCCAAGGTCGTCTCGGGACATTTGCACCGTCAAAAACGCAGCGATCCGGACGTCATCATCCATGGTGTGCCTTGTAGGGTATTGTTCGTCATATCGCGTGCTTACCCTTCAGTCTACCGGATTGATAATTTTCCCCCAAACATGGCCTTGACGACCCGCATCCCCCGCCCTCTCTTTTAAACCTTCCGTCTGAACGAGTAGCTTGGAGATATCGAAGGAATTGGATCAGCAGAACAAGATGCTGGAGAACGTGAACACGGACTTTGAGGAGGCAATAGGAGGCCTTGACGCGGTCACGAAAAAGACGCAGGAGCTCATCAAGAAGTCAGGTGAGGGCATGCTTACGTCCGCTCCAAGCAACTGCTGTGGACGCCTTTCCGCCAGCATGCGCCTCGACAACGCCTAGGGGTTCTAATGCTGTGATGCGCCGACGCTACATAAGTGCACCCCCGTTGCTTTGCCATTCGTGGCGCATCGCTTGCCTCCTATAATAGTGGCAACCGATACCCATACTGGTGACCCTGTGTAGATTGTAGACATCACTGGGGGGGGGGGAGTGATCCGCATTTTGCGCAGCTTGTGCTCGAGGGAACACGCGACCACGACCAGAGACCCGGGCAGTTTAACACCACGCACGACCCGGCGCTGCCTAAGTATTTAGTCGCAGAACCGATGTCGCTTCAAGTGGTCGTCACTCGGTTGTTGTGGCCGCTCGCTCGGGGTCCCGAAGTTAGCAGCGAGCACTTCTCCTGTCGTGTAGGATAGACTCCGGAGATTCGTAGTAGGACAGCGGTGGTCCCGGCTGACAAGTCAGCCGCGCCCTGGGCGAAAGAACGAGAACTTTGCTTAAGCGATCACGAACATGATGTGGGTGTAGGTATGGTTCTGAGAGATACATGTATTGTATTGTCAACCGCTCCTCCGTCCGCCCTCGCCGCGAACCCCGACGTTTTTTTGTTTCCAGGCGGGATGAGAAATTTCCTCATCATCTTGGTCCTCATTGCCATCCTGGCCGTTCTCGTTGTCCTCGTGCTCTACACATGACGTCACGCCACGCCACGCTCTCGGCTACTCTCACCGACGGGCGCGTGGCCCTTGTCGGAGCACTGCTGCCGATCGTTCCTAGCGTGGATAGCGCCCTTGGCCCTCTTGGGCGAAGTCAACCCCCCCCCCCCCCATCTGGTTTGGCGTAGCGAACGCAGGGATGATGGCCAGCTTCTGGTTTATCCTTGTGAAACGTAGCCCGGGCCGGCGAAAACCCGGCATATCGCTCCGGCCCGGCGTTGTCGGGATGCGAGGTCAACGGTCTAACGACATGTGATTACATGAGTACACCCCACCTCCCTCCCGGCGGCGTCCGTCGCGTGATAAACACGACGTTTGAAGGGGTATGCCTTGAGAGATGCGGCGAGAATGCAGCATATGCGCGCATGGCGCACAGGAACGCCAGCGGTGGGCTTGAAGCTGGTCGGCGGATTCGACCAGGTCCTGTTTTTCTTTTGGGGGGGAGAGGTACATACCTTGGTCGAAGGTGCTTGAGTATGTAGACATGGCAAGGGGTGTGGCACGCGGCGAGAGAACGTGAAAGTAAAACGTCACGTAAAATGGCCAGTCGTTGTTACTGCTGCAGCCGCTCGTTGCCGGTTCGATCAACCCACGGGGGAAGATGGGTTAACAGGGTGTGCCTCTCTGCCCTCTCGTTGCTCAACGTCGGTATCACGAAGGGTTGGTACTTGGAAAAGACTGCGAACCGCTTGCCGGGAAAAGCAAGAGGGTGGCATTTGACGTCTCTGTAAAGGTTGTCTTCTTGAAGGGTGGGCGGGTAGGTCCGATGTGCAGCGTTTGCTACTTGTGGGGGGGGGGGGTTCCGACAGACAAAAGTAGGCGTTTTGGCGAGCTATAAGTGATCTCGCGTCCCCTTCGTGATTTTGATGTCCTTTTTGGTGTACGTTGTAATAGAAGCGATTTTGGAAACTGTAAAACTACGAGGGGGGGTGTTGGCGGTTGAAGCGGGGGGTGAGTCCGGCAGGGGCATATACCGAGCATTGTTGTGGTATTGCTTCTGTTTGCTCTGTCTGTGATGGTATGCATACGCCTGACAAAAAAAAACTGCCAGACAAGCAGTATTTAGCGTTTCGTCTTTTCGTGTATGGTACTGGCTGCCTCATGTCAACAAGTTTTGTTTGAGTCCGTCCTTTTGCAAAATAGTTCTGCAGGACAGATAACGTGTTCATGGCGTTCCTTGCGGCGATATGAAAGGGAACTTTCTGAGTTGCCTGGTGCGAAGGAACAATGGCCGTTGGCACAATTGCTGCGGGAGACTGCTGCGTTTGACGCGGAGGTTTTTCGAGGCCAACGCATTCAGTACCACTATCTGTCATCCCGTGAAGACTCTGCTGGAACTGTGTGCGGGGACACCGGTAGCCCGTAGAGCGGCGGCAAAACTCAGTACACACTAATTTTGAAAGCGTGATTCGCGCAGGCAATCTTCCCGGAGCGACCACCATGCGCCTTGATGGTCTTGGAAACACCTTGCGACATGAACGGTGACCTAGTTGTCTTCGTACCGCGCGCGGTACCTACCTTAGTAACGTCAGAGCCGACGGTCTACCCAACAGTTTTCCGCCTTATGTACACGTACTCGCTATTCGGTGTACTTAGTTTTCTTTCCACACATAACTACAGTATATACATCATCGCCTTGCTGCCAGCAAGAGTCCGAGGTCCTAGCTACAACCCTAGGTTCATGAGGGCTAACCGTCTCCGACCGCTGGGACAGCACGAGATTCCGGGTTCGCCACCTCGATGGCCGGAACAACGTCTACGCCTCGGGGGGTACCGCCGTGGATGGCACCCGCGCTGCTTCCGCCGCCTCCGCCATTGCGGCCGCCTTCAAGCGCCTCGCCTGCTTGCACTGCCGTCTTCTCTTGCGGCAGGCGGCCCCGCTTTTCCTCGAGCGGCCGCTGCGCGGACCGTCCCCGGCATCACCACCACCGCCGTTTAACGTCGCCCGAATTCGCTCCCGGTTTCGCCGTCTTCGCTCCCCGCTGCGCCCCTGACGCCGCCTGTCCCACCTGCGATCACGGCGCCCGTCAATAATGCCGAGGCTTGTCCGCTTGCGACCGGAAAGGAACGAGGGCCGGACGCAGTCTATGCCGCGGATGGCGGCGCACCGTTCCGCAGAGGTTGCGCCGTCGCTGCTCTCCCCGCCGGTCTCGTCTTGGTTGCTGTCGCAACGAGAGATGGGCTCCGCGTTCGACTTTACGAGAAGGGTGCGGGGACGGGGCAGCGACGCCCTGCGGCCTTGCAGAGGGGTCGACGCTGCCTGGATGACGGCCGCGAGGTCTAAGCCCCACAGGGAAATGACGAACTGCTTGTTGTCGGGAAGCGATTTCCGTTAGAGAAACGATGCGTGGGATCGAGTACGATGGGGGGGGGGGGGGGGGCAGGTCAAGGTTTAGCTGGTGCTAAAGAGTCGGCACGGCAAGCTCGAGCGGGTTTCCTTTAAGAGGTGTTAATCCAACGAAAACGCGCAACAGTAGTAACACTTTTGACGCCAAGCGAGAGCAGCGATGCCTAAAAGTTCAGCAACAGCAGCAATAGTAGTGTGCACGGCAGTTCGCCTCCAAAATAGCGTGGCGTACTACAGTAGCTGGTCCAAGGAGAAACGACTCGCCTTGTGAAAAAGCCGGAGGTAGCGGCAGCCCCCTAGCTTCACCACGACCTTCCTCGTCGAGCGGTTCCTGCTTTCACGCATCGCCCTCAGAAGAACGGACGCCGGCACCCAGGCGAAGTCGGTCTTCTCGCTGAAACCCGGAGAAGACGCTTGACCTGCAAAAAAAAGGTTGTATATCACCAGTACATATACCAGCAGCGGGTGTTTTCTGGTGCGATAAGTATCTTGGTTAAAACCCTATCGGACATGCACGGGAGATGCTATCACGAAAATTAAGGCTCGGACATTGAGCTCTCGGCCAAAGGGCACTCTAAAGCGTCAGCCTTGCTGCAACGAAACCACAACCACCACTAACGCTGCCTACCGACGTGCTCAAGAGTAAGAACATGTAACACCACGAATGTGATTGAGCCTCCCGCGGGAGGGTGATGTACCTTGACCGCTTCCCCAGCATTCACCCTGGACACCGACGGCATCTGGACCGCTGCCGTCCTCTCCAACGATCTCCTTGCGCGCGAGGTTGATCATCAGGTCCGGCACGAAGTCGACCTCGGCGACAAACATCACGTAGCCGCCGTTGCGGCACTCGAAAACGCGCTTGCCTCGCAGGGAGGGGTCCCGCAGAGCGGACGACATTGTCGCCTGGGGGGGGGGGAGGGGGGGTTAAACGTGAGATAGGGTTGGCATCAAGTGCAAATGTTTATATACTACCATCAACGCTTTCACGTATCATTGGTTTCCAGCGGCACCAGTCGAATCCTCATTATTTTACTGCTTGCGAATCCTCATTTGCAGCCACAGCAGTAGAGGTGCTGGCAAGCGAGAGAAAAGTGGAAACGGGATGGACGGGGCCAGAGCAGCAGCAGTGTGCCAAAAACTACGCAACCCAGACGACCACAGGATGTGGGAATAGAGGTCGCGCCTCACACGAAACGTCCTCTCCCTTCCGTGCTACTATATGTACCCAGACGAGTGTTGTTGTCGAACCCATCCAAGCGAAGACGTGCGGCTAAACCTCAACAGCCACGTGCGCACACCGGACTCAACCTCGCCCAAAATGGACCATCCAGCAAAGCTCACCTGGCTGCGAGCCACGCTGTCGCTCTCCAGCCTAACCCCGTGGAAAATCCCGAAGCTCTCCTCCGCAAACTCCCGGCTCGCCGTTTCCTCAGCGTCCGCGTCACTCGCCTCTCTCGCACCCCCGAAATCCGACCACAGCAGGCCAGCCGGCACGGTCCCCTGCCCGGGCGCGGCCGCCGTCTCCTCCACCGGCGGGTGCGGGTCCCCGGTAGCTGCGGGAGGATCCTCCTCGGGCAGTACGGCGGTGTTGGAAGACCCGTCTTCGGGGTTAATACCGCCGGATCTTGGCCCGTTTTTGACTGCTGCGCCGTGTGCGGCAGACGGGTCACCTGCCCCACATGGTGAATCCGTCGCAGCTTCCAAGTCGTTCTCCTGCACCGCCAACGCCACCATCTCTGAGCGTTTGCCTGCCATCCCGAACTCGCCACCACCCATGGGCGCGCCCCCCCCTGCCCGTGCCCCACGCGCTCCTGTCTGCATACCGTGCTCCGTCCCGTCCCTACTAGCGCCAGCCACCGGGAACGATGCTGACGGCGCGGCCTCCTCGACCTTCGCCGCCGTTTCCCGACTCGCTTGAGCCCCGGCTGCCGCTGCTGCTGCTGCTCCTGCCACTGCTGGCGGCGACGGCGAGGCGTCGCCCGGCGGGTGCCCAGACGACGCAGAGCCCGAAGAGCCCGGCGAGAGCGACAGAGAGACCTTCGCCCGCGGGCCTCGTCGCGGTCTCCAGACCGGCGTCGGTGGTGGCGGCGGCGGCGGCGCCCCCGACGGCAGCGGTGTAGTTTCCTGCCCGCCGAGTGTGTGCGTATGTACCCCCACAGAAACGGTTTTCGGGGGTCGTCACAGGGGGTGTTGTCGGGTGCGCGTAGGGGATCGGGGATAGGGACAGGGCGCGTCGGGGTTAGGGACAGGAAGCTGAGCCGAGAACGCGAGGGGTGCTGCTCCGGAACGGCAACAGTGACAACTACGCTTCCAGTGCCGTCAGGAGGTTAATCGAGGGGTTCGCCGTTAACGGGCACCGCAAACTAGTGTGGTGCTCTGCACTTGCGTGGGACAAAGCGGGCCTGGGCAAAAAGCACAGACAAGCATCGGTAATATTCGGTAGGACGTCAACACGGCGTTCTCCTGTGGTCTCACCCTGGCCCTGTGTCTCATGCCCTCTGTTCCTAAGGCATCCATTCGCCTCAGACCGGACAAAAAAAAACACACCCTACGTACCCAACATCTCGAGCAGACTCACGATGCTCGGCGGTAATTGTCTCGCCGCTGCGCTCGCGACCCGGCCCTCGTCCTCCGCTGCCACCGGGGTTGTTGAACCGCCGCCCATCTCTGGAAACGACCTGCCTCTGACTCGGGAGTGGAAGCGAAGCTGCTGGCCCAGCAGGAACAGGAGATCCCCTCCGAGGACACAGAAGGGAAGGACCCCCGCCGCCAGGTAAGCCGGCGGCGCGGGTGGCGAAGGGGCAGCGACGCAGGGTGGGGGTGGCGCAGTGCTCCCGCGAACGGCGGTCGGCGGAGGCGACCGTGGCGGAGACCGGGAGCGCGAGGCCGCCCGCGGTGGTACCGTCGCCGCTGGCGTTGATTGTGTTACCACCGACGGCGCTACTAACGCTGCTGCCATAGTTTGTTCGGAGTGCGGCAGTTCTACTCGTGGTGTTCGAGCCGGTGGCGCTGCCGTTGGCGCCGGGGGTCCACGCCCCGCTGGTTCATTTGTGCTGCCCTTCGGCGGCGCTGGATGTGTGGTCGGTTCTACGCCCGTCCGATTTGGGCCCTTGGATCGTGATGCAGTTCGTTCCTCAAGGGCAACGTCCGATGGGCCTGCCGACCCTGCGTTTTTTCATGCACGGGGTGTTTGTGTTCCGTCGAACGGTGTTGCAATTTATCGGGTTAAACGCAGGCTTCGGAGGAAACCAAAAGAAACAAGTAAGATCTCGCACACCTCGGGTGGAGAATGCTCGAAGCAGGGTGGCTACCGGTTGGTTCGGGGGGGGGGGGGGTGCACGATTCGCGCGCGTAGGGCGAGTGGGGTGCAAAGAACATGACGGCACAACTGCCGGAGGTACCGAGGTGTACAACCACCACTACAACCACAACTAAAACCGATGTGGCTCTAAAGGGGAACGATCACGACGCGTCATGTCGGCACCCACCTGCTATGCTTGGATCGACGGGCTCTGTCATACCGCTTCAATCGATCCGTCGCCGCTACTGCCGCCGTATAGTTGCGCGAGACGCACGGTCTACTTTTTCGCCGCCAAAGGTAAGTCCCCGGCAACGACAGCTGGGCGGCAGGAGGCGTCGTGTGCGGAGGAAGGCAAAGGGGGATGGGGGGGGGAAGGTGTGCGTGATGTTGCTAGACTTGCCACTCTCCTGATCAATGCTGTTGATACTGAAAAATTCGAGGTCTCCGGGGAGCAACGTAGGTGTCCAACCGCGCTCGGGGTCCGTGGTCCCAACACTGCAGGACACGGAACCAACCTCCAACAGGGCTATCATCCATCATCTACACCACCAGTCATTATTTTTTTCCGGCTCTTGCCTCTGTGCTTCGCTAGGCTCATCCCTAAACAACCCTGCTGTTTATTTTGTGGTGCTTACTGCCTTCGGCCAGCCTTTGGGTTGAACCCGACGTGTTGGGGAAACTCTGGTTTGTTTTTGGTATTTCCTACTGCTGTAGATGGATCACGTGAAGGTTTGGAGGTTTGAATGCATACGTCGAATCTCCCGCCTGTGAGCACTCAAGAGAAAAGGTCAGGTGTAGTGAAAATAATAAAATAATAATGGTTGGTGGCCAATGAGGCTGCTGTGTTGCGCAGTCAAACTCAATGCCGGCATGCAGCCGTAGCATGTGAAGGAGGCAGCGACCAATAGAGCCGCGAAAGCTTATATCCTTTCCATCTGGCGCGTAGGTCGGTCACGAGGTCTTGTTCGTTGTTGGTTTCGTCAGGAAGGAAGTCCAGCTAACACGTCCTCACAGCAGTAAAACATCGCCATTTTTCAACAGATATTTTCATACATGTATTCCGTATGCACCTACAGCAGCAGTTGTCATGTAACAGTACGGCGCTCGAAGAAGAGCATGATTGCGCGCACATGGCCCTTGGGTAGCGTAGATCTTGCGAGCCCATGAACGACGCATCGAGTTTAGCTACACATGTGAAATGCACGCCCCTTTCCAATATTGTTCTGAGCAGCAGCGGTGAACCAACACGGACGGGGAGAAACCCAACCGATTTGATCATTCAATAGCTACCTATTGATCATCCGATTTGTCGAGTCGAGCTACTTGTATTGATCATCCGATTTGTCGAGTCGGCATACCAAGGTCAAGGTATCATGGTCAGGTCGGCACAACCTCAACTCACATCTCAAAATAACCTGCAACAACGCAGAGAGAGGGAGCGATTCGGGACCCTCTTTTGCCGCATCTCTGTTGGACACTAACATGCACCCAACGGTCGAATGCTTTCGTCACCTGCGATCGCCTTGCAAAGTCTTCAAGGAGACACGTGAACTATGCCAGTACACCACCCCGAGTTGGGTTTGGTTTGTCGGCGGGGAGCCCCAAATGGGAGCCGGAGGTGCGCGGTGCGGGGGGATCTTACAGTTTTGGTTCTCAATTCGAACCTTTTTCTGAATTTAGTTTTTTTTTTTTCTGAATATGACACGACGAATCCATCTCTATCATAGAAAAGTCTGAGACAGATTAGCAATGAATTCATAGCGTCAGAAAGTACCTGTATGTCTACCATTTCTCAGACAGCATATAGGGACATCTCCCCTGCGGGTAACAGGCTCAACAAGACAGTTTGGTAGCTGTCTTGTGTGTCTCATATATGTTATGTTGGGAAGGTGCAGAAGAAATGTGTTAAGTATTTGTCTTTGTCCTTGTCTGACGTCGGACGCACCCTCAGCCCGGTGGTGCCATCTGACCAGCGGCCACTACTGCTGTGCTGTGGTTTACCGACCATTGAGCAGTCAGTGCGAATTTGTCTTTTAAAACCCCCAAAACACTTGTCGGGTTGAAATTTTGCACCACACCGGGGTCGGTTCGGTTTCCTCATTGCCCGTGACTGTTGCTTGCTGTACGAACGTTGGTGTTCTCGGAGCGCGTCCTTACAAACCCTTTTCGAAGTCTGCATGCTTAACGGAGGCAGATGGATTAAGAGACGGCGTGTGCATGGCACATGAATTACGGGCAGGAACGCACGTGACACACGCAGAAAAAAACATCATGAAATGTTACGATTAGCTGTAAGTTCATTCTGCAAGTGTGTAGCGTGTAGTGCCTCTCGCAGAGTTTCGCTCTTTGCCACATACATAGCATCAGTCATTTTCGAATCAACCCGAAACCATAAACGCACCACGTCTGCAGACGCGCCGCTCCACACTCTAAACTTGGAAGGAGAAATACGTCGCTACCTTGTATGTACATCCAGATCTCATCCACCCTGTTATTTCCACCGATCGACACGGCAGTCTACATCACAACCATTCCGCAGCTTCTTCTCGTCATTGGACAATGCACCGATACAATCGCGAGTTGGAGGGCCAGTTAGTCAGAGCTTGAATATTGTGAGGAGCTCGGGGGAATCTGCACGGTTGATCCTCTCGTGCATGAAGACGCGCCACTGGGAGTGGGCTAGGCCCGCGGCGTAGTCGCGCACGGCCTCCGTCTCGCGTTTACCCTGAAGAAGAAGGAGAAAGAAAACACGGGCAGGGCGACGAAGGACCGACGGTACGGCCAATTACCAAGTCACCGTCGAGAGGTGACACCGGAACTGTGTATGTGGTAGCTACGTGTCGTGGACCCAATCCAAGATTCAACGCTGTCGCATCAACTGTTTTTCAATGTGCAAGCAAAGGTTGCTACCGCCAGTAGGGTGCTTGGTCCTGGCTGCGGTAGCTTGCAAGGTCTCGGCGGCCACTTATGAGACAGGATTGATTCACCGAGCGTGTCGCGGGTCACAAGGACGAGCGCGTCATGCCGTCAGCACCACTTCCTTTGCCCCCCCTTTGAAAATAGAGCGCTCACCTCCGCGTGCCCCCTATACAACATTACGCTGATCATGCCGCCGTGCTTGACCACGCGTTTCGCCGCCTCGATGCTCTCCAGTGTGTCCTCGAGTTTTGTTGTGATGGATTTGTCGCCCCCCGGCAGCCACCCCAGGTTATACCTGGCGAGGTATACATAATAAGGGGACACATGTTTCGCACGTGTTCGGGGATAGGACGACTGGTGATTAGCTGCGACATTGGTGCTCACTCCTACGTGAGGGCTTGGTTCAGCTCGGGCGAACATGAGAAACACGTCCGGCATGCATGACGACCTCCGACCACGCTAGTAGTACTACAGACCCCAAACTTGTCCCTGGCCCCAGCGGATGATGGACCATGCTCGCCGCTGCCTTCCTACGCCCTACCATTTTCAATTATTTTATCAGACAGAAGGTGCACCACTTACACGACGAGTTGCACCGACAGAGGCTCCAACTCCGCCGGCATCTCCCTGAAGTTGCCGTTGATCAGCGTCGAGCGTTTCAAGGCAAGTTCACCGAGTTCAGACCTCAACCTCTCGCGAGTGGCCTCGATAGCCCGCTCCTGAGAAAGCCCAACGAACAGAAGCGAGAACCGCCGAGGCGGTGTCAGTTTCAGGGACCAGCGGTCGCTAAAAATAAGCAAAGAATAACAGGGACAAGCGTTACGGAAGGTACGGCTGTGCCTTGCGCCATGAGTGCAAGTGTGCACAGGCCACGGACTCCGAAATACGCTAAAAAAAAAAAAAAAACGCTTTCAGTTGGCTGCTGTGCTTGCCTTACCATGACGGCTGTCGTGCGGCAAGAGCCAAAAAGCCGAGGCACAACGCGAGCCAAGTTGCCAAATCTTTACCGTGTCGCTCAAACCCGGCACGCCTCGAACCTCGTTGCTTCCGAGCTCGGCAACCCCCATCACGCACCGACTGCACAACCCTGACATACATACCCAGGGGAGTACACCACCTACTTCGCCGCACGCAGCAAGCTTGCCTGGACATCCATGACGTAGAGTGATCCCACCCCGTCCTTCAGGGCAACGATTTTTGCGAGCTCGAGGCTGTCGTGTCCGTTTCCGGCTGTGCAGTCGAGTACAGTGTCACCCGGGCCGGCGACTTGTCTCCTGGGTAAGAAGGGGCGGGGGCAAGCGAAAAGTCCGACAACAGCTGTAAAATCATTGCTGCAGCAAATAAATACGAACCTTCTTGAAAATGAATAGAAGTGCGCGACACGTAATAGCAGCACAGCAGTGTAAGTAGAGGATCTAGCAGCACCTGGACTACGGCTTCAACACAGAACAAGGCCCACGTAGATATATTTCACCGCATCTCCCCACCAACACAAAACTACAAAAACTTGAAAGTACTCTTTCACCACGCACCGACTCACCACAAGAGATGGGCCATGTGACTGTGAGACGCCGCGGGGTTGTTCCGACTCCAGCGCGCAGACTCCGGCTCCTTGGTTCCGTCTCCACCTTCCTCACCACCGTCCGACACGCTGCCATCACCTCGCGAGGTCAGCACGGCAGTTTCGGCGGCAACCGGCGTGTCTTCGGACGATTCAGCACCTAGTTCCACGGTCGCCGAATCTCGTCGGTCTAGCGCGGCCTGTACCATGCCGATGGCGTCTTGAGCAGCGGTGGACGATGCTGTCGCCGCGGCTGGGGCAGCGGCCTGGGCTTCGGCGACGGCCGACAGAGCCGCTTTAACGGCGGAGCGCGCCTGTGACGTCACTTCATCCTGATTGGTGTTGGCATAGAGAACAGGGGGGGGGGGGGGGGGGCGGGGA